TAAGAATATTCGGGCTGCTTAGAGTAGGGAGTTGAGCTTGCTTCTACACAGCCTGAAAAAGTTGTTCTTTTACTTTCACTCTCACGAGGCAGTTGCCTTGTTGCCTTTTATTTTTCTTTCCTTCGGCCGAAATCGGACACGTCCGAGCTCCTTGTGGCGGGGCTGCTCCAAAAGGAGCTAGCCTAGTGGTGGCACATTCGAAGCTCGATCCCGGTCTCCGCTAGGTAACAGTCAGATGTCCTACCTATTGGGCTAGCTCCTATCATGACAGTGATAGGAACAACTTTTCTATAAGAAGAGCTTTGGTCGTGACCTTCCTCCTCCTTGTAGCCTTGCAGGCCCTGCCCCGTCGGCGCGTCTCTCTTTTTTAGCCTACTTAGGTTTTGAATCGTGCGGCTTAGCAGTTGCGCGGCTTTATTTTAGGTAGAATAAGTTTTTTTCTAACATTTTCATGTCTGCATGCCTCTGCGACCTTGACAAAACTGCCGACTACTGCCATTATCTTCGGACGACACAAGCGTCCGAATTATAGTTTATAAAAGTTTAAGTATTTCTGTCATAGGCTTAGTCTGAATAAACTTTTGACAACACCGGTCTCATCAAGTCCTTTAATTCAACGAAAGAGTCGGACAACGTCCAACGTTTAAAATCCCTTGCAAGGGTATTTGCCTCAACAACGTTGTCGTCTATCATTTGAGGTGTTATAGTGATGTATTAATAACCCTTTTATGAGGATTTAAGTAATCACTCACATTATTAACGACTTTGACCAATTTTTATACCACGTTTTTTTATTGTTACTTTCTATAAGGTTCTTAATGAGAGGGGTATAATTAGCAAAATCTCATACTGATTATGCTGTGAATTTACTCGTCAACACCGCAGGGTCTTAGGTTCACCCACATAATTATATATGCTATATCGAAGTTCACGAGGGGGTTTGGGGACAAAGAACTATAAGGTAGGTGACAATCTCTATTTGTACATGATGCATGTCCTTTATATATATATACACAACCTTATATGTGTAATAAATTAATGAGTGGTGTTATAAATTTGAATTCCCCCCTTGTGTGTTTCTTTTAAAACTTTATTGTGAAAATTATTTGAGAGTTAAGTTATAAATTGTGTATATAAAGTGTGAATATAATACTTGACGATAACCATAAACTTAAAAAAAAACAATTGTGAAAATAGTGGCTGTTATTTAACGCAATAGATAGGAAAACGCTGTCTCTTTCTTGACCGAACGCGCCGAGTTCCTAATCCTACCCGCACCTCACGTTCACGAACCCGTTCAACTGCGTTTCGTAGACATGGTTGGAGGTTGACCAATGGTTGGTCATTCCCAGTGACGCTCTTTCACGACAGGAGGGTGATTCCCATCTTGAGTTCGTCAATTTTAGTGTCTTCAACCATGCAAGGAAAAAATAAGTTAAATAAAATAAAGAAAAAAAGTAATTGGTTGATTTATGATCTTTTGTTGAGTTAAATTATGGATTAAAAAATTATACAATTTTAATAATATTTTGAATTAAGGACAACATAAATATAACATGATTATATATGATTGTTGATATGACGACTACTACGTTTGGTCAACTATTTATCATCATTAAACTAATCGTGAAAATAAATATAATATTATGCGATTCTTATATGACAGTTGACCGACCACCATTGTGATAAGTCAACCTCAATTCGACGTTGAAACTAAGACATATATTAACATAATATGACATGTGTATAGTAATTGACATACACCATTGTGATCAATTGACTTTAGTATGTAACTTATGAAATTGATTAGGTGTGTGATATTTGATAACCATTATTATGACCAACCGACTTCATTGTGGGATTGATAGAAATGTACGAAAAAATAGTATAAATTATGTTACGAATAATATTCGATCTACCACTATTGTTTAGTCAATAAATTTCATTTTATCGTTGTGCCTAACTACTGATTTAACCACTATTGTGGTCAATGAACTCCATTGTGGTTTTGAGTTAAATTTAAACGATACCATGATGTAACTTAAGTTGTATAGGGCATTTGAAACAATCGTTATTTTTGTCTGTCAAACTCACTTTCTCATTAAGATAAACATTGATAAAGTATAAAAGTAATGCAATATATAATAATTGATATTACCATTATCACAGTCAATCGAGTTTGTTTTTTTATTAAAATAAACTTACAAAATATGTGGGTGTAGTTCAACTTGTATATGATAGATAATATGACTATCATTGTAGTAAGTCGACTCTATTTTATTATTGATTTAAGTTAAATATAAAATATAAACATAATATAAACTATATGTGGTAGGCGGATTGACAATCATGGTAATGAATTGATTCCACATTGTCGTTTATAATACAAGAGAAACAAATTGATATTACTTGATATGCATGTCGTTATTAGTGGACTAGGATTGAAGTATGTCAACGCAAAGAAACTCTTGATATAATTTGAATCATACATGTAGTTGGTAAGACACCATTATAACTAATTAACGTCATCATATTGTTAAAGTGACACTTGAAAGAAACATTGGTATAACCTTTTATCTTTTTGACCATCAGTGTGGTCAATGGGATCCACTGCACCATCCAAGTGAAATTAAAAAATGTAGTATTACAAGTTAATCTTTGTATGACTGTAGACCGACCACTACTATAATCAAGCAACTGCACTCCATCGTTTGATAAGCTAAAGAAATAAACTTGACGTGATGTAGTCAGTTTGTGGTCGTCAAGTTTACTATCGCTATGGTCAATGGACTTCAACTTGTCATCGTTTGATAAAAACTGAGTAACATAATTCGTATTTATAGCTATAAGACTGCATCTTTAGGGTTTCCACCATGAAAGCGTGTCATACAGATGTGCTTTCGCACATTCTCCACCTGCGCTATGGTGCACAATTTTCTAACCATGATCCCCTAACCTGATGTATCTTCTGCATTGTGGTAAATCAATTAGCCGCGTCTCCACCTGCGCTATGGTGCACAATTTTATTTTCTGCAAGGTTGGGGGGATGCAACCAATTCCGACAGGGAACAGCAGGGCTCTGCCAATCAGGGCAGAGAATTCCGTTCTGTCCGACCCGAGGGGGTTTAGAGGGCCGTTGAAGCATCAGGCCTAGAAAATAGTCTCGTTTCTTAGCCGAGGCGAGGGAGGCTCGGAGGCGCAGGCCGTGGCCAAGCCCGGCGGGAAAGGGCGCAGCCGAAAACCGAGTCCTATCCGTACTTGGGGCGAGAGGTGGGCCCGTAGCTCAACCGACCCGATCTGCTCGTCGAAGGCCCGAGGGGTCGCTTATGGCCACTGTCGCCACCCGGGGCTAGGTCCCACCTGCACGAATTAGGCGATATTGACCGTAGACAGCAGAGATCGACGGCCAGAATCTCTTAATCCGTGCAAGTGGGACCTTGCCCCCGGGCGCTGAAGCACCAGCCTTGCAGAGCCGGACATTTGTTTGCTCTCTCAATGACAAAATCCTGTCCTGAGAAATGTGTCAGTCAGTGTTGCGCACGCAGTCGGGCAGCGGAACCAACCCAACTGCTTGTTGGTGTTGTCGCCTGGCTGTCTCCATGTTTGGCTGGTGTTAGCACATCTCCCTCCTCTCCCTGCAATTAGTGCCGTAGGATCTTTGCCTCGACAGGTTCACCCATCTCTCCTCTCCACCCTGGCAACGCTCTCCACCCTGAGGGAGAAGTCAGTGATATGAGGACACAGGCGACAGTCACTTGCCCCCAAGCACGGATCTTTTGGTGAGTGATGAGTGCTCAACTCATATGGAAATGGACACACCCATTCCCGCTACCGCTATGTCGTGGTACTGAAATTGCTTGCATGGTCGCTGACTGTATTTGTTTTTGACGTTCCCCATCCATGGAGGTTGGGGCCTCTGTCTGCTCTCCAGTCTTCTGAAGTAGGGGGGTGCGCATGCTGGCCATGCGTTGGTTTGACCACATCGATCGCGATCCCTCTTGTCGTCGGATCCGATCTCGCACCCTTCGTTTCCCTGGCTGCTGATTAGAATACGAGAGACAGAGAGAGAGACTCACACACACACGGAGAGAGAGAGAGAGAGAGAGAGAGAGAGAGAGAGAGAGA